ATTATATTACAAAGCTTAAGGTGAACAATATTACCCTCACGTACCTTAGTTAAAATCTTGTACGCCTCTGTGTTGCTACAAAAAAAGTTAGCAGGAAGAAGTGACGCTATAGAAATATTTTTAAGATGATGTTCAATAATATGAAACCAAACGTAACAATAATATGCGAGCACGTTTTAAATCAAGATGAATAATTACATGAATACCTACTAGGTTTTTACGAGGTAGAGCAATGCTGGTTGTAGCAGGCTCTCACAGAATGCCAGCGTAAAATAGCAGTCCAATGCTGCTGTGTATACTATGATAAGTGTAAATATATAAAGAATATGAAAGAATGAAATAAAATATAGTAAATAGAATAGATGTATATGTCACATATGCCACAGCATCCACTTACCATCAGGTGAACTGTGTGCTCGTTTATTATCCTTATTCTATAAAAAAATCTTGTGTTACGTCTTAGTTTTTAACCGATTCTTAGTTTTGTAGGCCATATTATATAGCGCATGCGAACGCGAAAATATAGAGGAATGCACTGATTTCAACTGATGAAATATCTAATGCAATTCAAATCTAAATTACCTAAACTTGGGCACAATGTCAAACGACAATGATTTAAGCCGTCAGAGTTAGGAACTTCTCACTCGGTTAGATAATTTATGATTTCACTGAATTAGTAAAGCCGGAGACCTGACATTCGGACACATATCTAAATTTTCCTTCACCCGGAGCAAAATATGGTAAATCAGCATTAAAAATTTCTTTAACCAATCTAATCGACGCTGGTGTTACGGATCGCCTCCGACATCGGGTTGTCAGCGTGTTATGAAATTTATAAAGAGCCTTAAGCCTTTGTTACCACGGCTCAATTACCTTCCACCCTATTAATGTTTTCCATGGTTATTTACGAGTCATTATAATTACAGGCTGTGAGGTATAGGTAGTATATTAGTAAACAGAGGTGACAACGCATCAGTCTTCTCTGATTGAAATTAGTTGCAGATGGACTGCTGTAGCTACTATAATATGGACTACAAGTTTGTTAATCACTTCAATATTATAAAAAAAAAAACAACTTCTGGTGGGATTAGAAACATAGAGCCGCATCACCGTCACCGGCCATCGACACATTTGGTATCAGCTGTCATCTATACGACACGTAAGATCTCACAAGAAAGCGCGAAAATTAATTCAAGACTGCGATCAGACTAAACGCATTAAATGTTTTGATATTAGCGGTTTGATTTGCCAATATTTCGCGTCATGTTAAGGAGGCACATTTAGTGCAAAAGCGGAGCGGAAAGGAATTTTAGTGTAGAAAGTATAATTACAGACCAAATTTGGTTTCTTGTCCAAAATTCTCTAACTTTCTGAAATTAATCACGAGGTCGTAAGACTACTTTTCTGTCTACGTGCCCGTCTGTGCAAGTCTCAAGCGTTTATCCGTTTCTATCACCATATGACAGTGTTTGCATTCCAGGCTGAAGAGTAAAGGGAGAGTACAATTACAGGCTGTAAGGTATTCCATATTAGTCCTCAGAGTTTTGTCGTGATGTGCGTTGGTGAAAGGACAGTGACGAAATAATAGATGATGGAATTATTAAGCGTCTACTTAAGTCACCATTACAGGTATCAATAAAATGATTTACTTTGTTTTATCTAATCAAGCTTATGGCCTATCGAAGTCTGGAAAAAAATCATCATACACAATTCAAAACTTAATTGTCTAGTTGTTGTAGTTGTTACGATAGTCAGTTAAGACAGGCAAAGGTCTTATACCATACAGGCGAGTTTGACGTGTATTTTATTCAGAAAACTCTTCTATATATACTAATGCATTCGTTAAGGGTATATACGCTAGTAGTTACCCTATATAAACATATATGAAAAATAAATTGACTAGTTGTTGTAACGATTTGCCAATTACGGCGTTTTATACCATACAGCCTAGTCCAATGTGCGTTTTGTTTAAGCTAGAATATCTTTAATTCCTGACTTCCTGCAGTAGTATGACTGAAGAAAAAATATTCAGGATTTTAAACTCTATATTTTTAAATATTTTTTCATTTGTAGACGCAAGAAAAGCAAGTCACCTAAAATTTGTTTAGGAGTTCGCTATTTCCCTTTGGCGGCTGGGATTAATTCGAACAATTTCTCAGAGCACTCCCCGTCGTAAATGCGCGCCAGTGAATCAAGCTGATCAGAAAGAACTTCAAATTTAAGCAGCTTTTCGTTTGTCGTTTCAGTTTTTAAGTTATTTCATAGCTTTTATTTAACTTATAAAAGTTAGTTTATCTTTTCCATTTTATAAACAAAAATCTAAAAAATCGTATTAAATGTAAACCACTGTTACTTTGTATTTATCTTTTTTTCTTAGTAGTATTTTTGTTTTACGTATAAATTAAATTGTCACTTATATCGAAATAATACATTATGATATAATTCTAAGAACTACAATATCTGTAATGCTCAATTACAAATAATGCTCTTATTTATATCTCATGGGGTGGAGACCTGGTGATTTGTAATACAGGCTTTTTATTGCCTATCTTAAACACCAGCTCTTCACAGATTCTAAGCTATGAGTATGAACATACCTGTATTTAAATAGATATAGGTTTTTATTATGTATGGTCGGTATTTGTGAGGAGAAATAAACCAATATTATTATTATTGTGGGGTATCTATATAGTTTTCTCATCTGGTTGGGTTCTATAAATACATAATTATAAATGAAAATGAAAAGATAAATATACATAAATATCAATAACATAAAATAAATATAAAAGTACATAAATAAATAAAAGCCCAACCAGATGGAGGCCCTCGGCAGGGGAGACCAAACGGCCGAGGGTTAGGGGGAAAGGGAAAGAAACCGGCGAACGATGCGGGCGGTATCGAGGAGCACCGCCTTCTGCATTTGAACCTGAAGCGGTCCGCCACGTAGTCCCAGCCGCCTCAGATGACCCGAGAGGCTGACTGGGATTAGCCCGTTTGCAGAGACGACTACAGGAATAATTTCGGTCGGCAGACCACCCCACATGTCGGTCACCTCGTGAGCCAGGTCCAGATATTTTGTTTGCTTGTCTGTTTCGGCTTTCACGAGGTTCTCGTCATACGGAATGGTAATGTCGACCAAAAATATCCTTGACTGTGCCCGGTCCATCAGCACAATATCAGGCTTATTCGCAAGAATAGTCCTGTCTGTGATGATGGCCCGGTCCCAATAGAGCCTGGCGCGATCATTTTCGAGCACGGCTTCCGGCAAGTACTTGTAATACGGCAATTTCCGATCCACGAGACCGTATTTCAGAGCGAGCTCCTGGTGTAGAATTCTGGCTACTAGGTTGTGCCTGTGCAAGTACTCAGAGTTAAAAAGCGCCGAACAAGCGGAGATAACATGCCTAAGTGACTCACCGGGATGGCGACAAGCTCGACAGATGTCGACGGTGCCATCCTTTAGGATGTATCTCCGATAGTTGTTGGTCTTAATAACCTGATCCTGTATTGCACAGAAAAAACCCTCGGTTTCCCCGAAGAGATCACCAAAGCGTAGCCAGTGCAGGGAGGCTACTGAGTCTACGAAAGGCCCATGTAGAGCCTTGTAGAACCTCCCGTGGAGCTCCTTCTCCTTCCATACGGTCTCCCGGTCGGAAATGCTCTGCACTGCCGGGTCTTGCCATTGCTCGTTGGCTAAGGATAGAGGGGTAAGTTCTTTATCACAAGAAATGACGTCCTTATAGAATGGATCATCCGATCTCGCCAGGAAGTAATCACGGAGGCTGCACACTTCGCGATTATGCATGGTGAGCGCGCTCAAGAAGCCACGACCACCATGCTTCCGCGGCAAGTACAGCCTCATTACCGACGATCTCGGATGATGCATCCTATGGGACGTCATGGTAGTGCGGACTTTTCTATCCAGGGCGTTAAGTTCAGTCTGAGTCCACCTGAGTATGCCAAAGGTATACATGAGGACAGGCATGACCCAGCCGTTATATGCGTGTGCCTTATTCACACCGGACAAAAGGCTGTTAAGCACTTTGGTCAAGCGTGCATAAAACACGTCGCAAACTGACTGTTTCATACCAGTCTCATCGATACCGATGTTTTGTGACATACCCAGGTATCGGTATGTTTCAGCCTCGGAAAGGGTCCTTAAGTTGACGGGCATAGATAAGTCTACGCCCTCAGAGTTAGCAACCCTTCCCCTTTCAACATGGAGGACCGCACACTTATCCGTCCCAAGCTCCATTCCAATGGAATTGCTAAATTCACAAGTGATGTTTAGCAATTCCATAAGATGGGAGCGACTAGAGGCGAATAACTTGAGGTCATCCATATAGAAAAAGGTGGGTCACTTTTGTCCCTCCTTTCCGTAGCTGAAATCCCCTCCCGGAGCCCTCCAGTAAGGTACTGAGAGGGTTCAGAGAGAGGCAGAACCAGATTGGACTCAGACAATCGCCCTGGAAGATACCCCTTCTTATCCTTATGTGGTTCTCCGCAGCCATCATCCGCTCGCCCAGATGACAAAGGATCGTACTCCACTGCCCCATACACTGCTCGAGGAAGTCTCTAACCGTACAGTCTATCTTGTACAGCTCAAGGACTCTCTTTAGCCAGGTATGGGGCACCGAGTCGAATGCCTTTCTGTAGTCTATCCAGGCGGCGGAGAAGTTCCGACGGTTGCGTTTCACCACTTTGCCAATGACCGCGTCAATGAGGAGTGGTTCCTTGGTTCCACGACCACCGCCCCGACATCCATTTTGAGCGCGCGACATCACCTGATTTGAGTTCAGGTGACAAGTGATTCTCGCGCTCAAAATGGATGTTAGTGTCTTGTATATGGTCGGTAGACACGTGATGGGGCGGTATTTGCTCGGGTCTGTGGTACCCTGGTCTTTAGGAACCAAATGAGTGATCCCAGTAGTGAAGAGGCTTGGGAACGCCTTCTGGTCGAGAGCCTCTTGAAACTGGCGGGCGAGCACAGAGTGACACACCGTGAACCCCTTCAGCCAGTCGTGATGCAGCCCGTCAAGCCCCGGACTTTTCCAGTTCGGGGCCCTACGGACCGCCTCAGCTACGTCATCCGGCGTTATGATGACGGGGTCCATGGGCGTAATACCCGCACACTGACTCGCCACAACTTCCGTCCAAGGGCCCTTGCTGTGGTTTACGGGCTCTGACCACAGGCCGCGCCAGAATGCTACAGTGTCGGCCTGATTCGGTGCTGGACCCGTTCCACTTACCATTGGTCGCTCCAATGATTCAAAGAGCCTCTTCTGATCACTCTGGAAGAGACGATTCTGGTTGAACCGTGTCGACCTCTCGGTATATCGCCGAATCCGCTTTCCCCAAGCAGCGATTCTCTGCTTCAGATCATCTATGCGCTCCTTCAGTTTTTGCGTTATATCCGGCTGGGACAAACTGACATTTGTCCCAGCAAACGCCATCCTGACGGTGCGCACAATTCTTGGCCTGTTGTTGCCTGATCTGAAGCATATCAGTCTGCCGATGAGAGCTCTAGCCTTTGCGATACGTTCCTCAATTCTTCTTCTCCATGCTGGGATAGCGCTACTATGGCCAGTAGCGCGTCCAGCCGTGGAAACCTTGGCGCCTATGATACGGCAGGTTGCCAGCGCGGCGCCAAAAAGAATTGAGTCCGTCTCGCAAAGGTCCCGGCTGGCTTCCAAATAGGTCACCAGCATTGGGTTCAGAGCCCTCACGACAGCCCGATTCCGCTTGCTTAGGGCTATGCGGAGAAGTCGCGGTCGATTTTCGAGAGGCGAACTGCGCGTTTCCACAATCGCCTCTTCCAATGTACTCCTCATATGCTCTAATTCCAGTTCCTGGGGGACTGTTCCATCATCGTTTAAATCAACTACAACTGGGGTATTCACGGCGGCATCCACGTTTGCGGGATGCTCTACCATTTGTGGCGCCGCATCCTCAGCCGTAGCATTCTCATCCGACGAGGGAACAGCCTCATGTCGTAGCCGTTCGAGTTCGGCGACATCAAATATATTTGAGCGCAAGATATACCGAACTCGGTCTGCCAGGTTTTGCTCTGTGACGGTTAAAGATGGCTCCAGCTCAGCAAAAAGACGGTGCATCCTAGCCCGATACGCCAAACATCCAGTTTCTTCCCCTTTTGCCCTAAAGTACGCCCGCAATGCGTTTGCATTCATTGCTTGTGACCAACGCATGCGACGTGCTCCACCAGCGGCGGGTGCCGCTTGCTGAGTCCGAGAAGACCCAGCCGACACCAAGCCTTCTGGTGGGGATGATGGATGCGGAGGGCTGCTAGGTGACCGTGCAGCTCCTCGCGCTCGGCTGGCGGCCCGCATGCTGTCGCGTCCAGCGCCAGCTCCAGACGCGCCCCGGCGACCCCCAGGCAGCGGCCCTTTGCGCACTATCTTCTTATCCATCATCCATTATTTGGGCGTCCATTAACGGCAGACGCCCAGGCCCGGCACCGTTTCGTGTGTAGCCATAAGCACAAACGGGCCTCTGCACCCTAAATTCTGCCGAGGCACGGCGCTCACACCTCTCGCAGGGCGCTGACTGACTGCGTTGACGTAACAGTTTTGTCACTTAACTGTTACGTCAGCGGGCGATGGGGTCGTCAATTCCCTACGCATTTTATTATTATTATGGGGTATCTATATAGTTTTCTCATCTGGTTGGGTTCTATAAATATATAATTATAAATATTATTACTTATTATTATTTTTATTACTTTGTTTGCTTTCATATCTCGGCTTTTACCGGTTTACTAATAGCACGGGCCTAAGCCAAGTGTATATTAGTGCTGGATTTGGTGCTATCCTGTGAACTACCTTATTCAGTTACCTGTGTGTTAGGTTGTGAGGCAATTTGTCTAAGTATAGGAGGTATGGTTTGTTCTTCAGTTTGCAGGAACTTCCTAACTATTCTGCATGTATTCAGTATTACAGCTTTCTGTAAAAGTTTGTATGTATTGGGTGGTAAATTTAAAGTTTTTACGGATTGGTGTAATTGCTTCGGTATTACGCCGGTTGTCGATAGGACAATGGGCACTATAATTACTTTTTGAAGATGCCAGAGTCGAGTTATTTCATCTTTAAGTTCTGCATATTTAGAGAGTTTTTCAGCTATTGTAGTTTGTATTATTATTATTATTATTATTTGTCGACCATACGAAAATGGCGTAATTTTATGGCAAAATATATATGGTACATATAAAAAAACAATTTAAAAAATTAAACGCGTTTCTGGGCGAAACTTAAAAATAAAATTACAGGATATATAGATTATATGGATAGCATAATATGTGGAAAGCATCTGAGAGGATTTTAAAGCAATTGGTCCGTTACTCCAGAGCGTGCTCACGGACTTTACGTGTCTACGCAATATTTTATTACCGAACACGTAGTAAATCAACACTTCTTTTTTTATATAAGTGTCAAGCTACAGTGGTCAAACGAGCATGCGGCTCACCTGATAGTAAATGACTATCGTCACGCATGAACAACTGCAGCACTTGCGGAATCGCTGATGCATTGCCGGCCTTTAAAAAAAGAGTAGACCACTAAGTCGATTGGTCCGGAAAAATCGCTGGTAGTAGTCGATTCCAAAAGAAACTTGGGCGAGGAAGAAAACTTCTTATAAAACGCACGGTAGTAACCGCCAATCATCCACGTGGTAAGGATGGTATCTCGTGTTCTGAGGCGATGTGCGATCGTGAAATTGAGCGGGTGAACATAGTCCAAACGATGCGTTTGAGCACCCCCCTTGGTAAATACGAAATTGAATTTTATTTATGTCGGTGGGAATTGTTCTCGAATAAATAATTACTATTTTTTGTTTCTTCAATCATACCATTATGAATATATTACAAAGCTTAATTTGTATACATATGCTAATGTTTATAAAAATGCTCTGTAACCTCGGTTGATTAGCCGCTATTGACTACACTAATTATGATGAGCGAGTCCTACCACCAATTTTATTATGAATTTCTTTTAAAACTGCATTATAGCCCACACCTATCCTATCGCAAAGCGTTAAACCATGCATGGGTAGATTAAAATGAATTACTTCCTCTGTTTCCCTCTACATAGTTGTGTTTAAGAAACACTATGTCTTGCACAGTTTGTGGTTTCCGAAAAGTTATTAAAATAAGTTATAGTTGTAGCCAAATTAGAAGTTTGAGAACCCTTTACAAGTGATTATAATGAGTTGATTCAAACCGCTAATAAGTTTGTTACCCGCTCCTGCTACCGCTTGTCACCGCACGCTGAATACAAAACATTAGTACAGTCGAGAGGGAAAGCGTTTGGTGACAGGAAAGCATTTCACCACCGATCAAGTAATAAGGTATGGTATTCTGTGTAAATCTATACGCGAGGAAATCCTATGTGTAGTCCAGAGTGAGAATAATTTCATTGGTGAGAAAAGTTTAGAAAAACATAATAACCGTTTATAGATTACTTTAAACTTCAGTTACAATGGTTTTATTATGTCCTTGGACATAATATGAAATTTCGGAATATAAAAAGTATCTATAATATATTTGAATTTTGAACATTTTAAACTATTCCGATTGAAAAGGTTTGCGATATTTTTTATGCAATGAGGGTGACAAACGAGCACACAGTCCACGTGATGGTAAGTGGATGCTGAGGTCCATAGACATCTATATCTATCCTCGATTAAGAATCAAAATGTAAACGCGTTGCCCCTGAAGACTAAGATGGAATGCCTCGTTGCCAGTAAAAAGGGTCTGCGGTTCTCTACACTCAGCAGCATAATATTACCTTTCTTCATATCGTCCTATTTGTGTCGGCGTCAGAGGAAAACAAAGAATGTCTCCCTATTAAGATCTAGAAAATGAAAACACTGCGGTAGCCAATCCATCCGATAGGCTTGGCAATTATGGCAAATATGGCAAATGTACTCTGCATAAGATGGATTTTTATAGGTTGTAATACACAAACTAATAAGTGAATTCATAAAAACAACTCAGAAATGTTACAAATGATCTTTTAAATATGTTCGCTAAAGGCCGTGAGTTCGAATCCCTCACGATTAAATTTCCACTGTGATGTAATTGATTGTTATTACAACGGCACGTGATAGAACTTGTTACATTTCTCCTATTTGTAAACAGCTTCTACTGTATAACGATCAGTATGTGATACTCATTCGTATTCAACGGTAATAAAGATCAGTTTGACTTGATAAGATAAGAATGGACCTGTATTATCTGTAAGACGTAATGGTACTCAGCTTTTTATTGCCTTGCCCTTTGCGACCTTTAGAAAAAAAGCGTTATGGTTTGCAAGCGGAAATCACAAATTTTGGCATGAATGAAATTTGAAAGTTTTTGTTAGCGCGTTGAAACCGGAATTCTTATGTTTTTACTACAATTAAAGGTAACAAACGAGCACATATTCTACATTTTAGTAAGTGGATTCTGTGGCTTAAAGATATCTATAATACACATCTATCCTCACAAATTAAAATGCAGTGACGGTGTCATCATCTAAAACTAAGCTGCATTGCCTCGTTTCAGGTGGCCGGACTGAAAATATCCTCTATTTTAGGGCATTCCTCTATTACATCAGTTAGCATCTGAATCCTCCAAGTTGACATATCGTATAACGTTCAGTAGTCACTTGGAAGGGAAGGCCAAATTGGCCTTTAAAATGCTTGGCGTGCTTTATAGAGAGGGACAGTATTTCATTCAGGCACTCCACTTGCATCATTATAAAACGCAAGTTCGTTCTCACATGGACTTCTTTTGTCATCTCTGGGGCAGTGCAGTGCCAGCTCCTACCACTTATTTTGAGGTATTGGATGCTTTACAGGAGGATTTTTCTACCCTCACGAAGCCTGTGCACACATTTGCGTTTTCACTTTCTTTTGAACTCATGTAGTAACTACATTTCGACGGTGTGTGTTATTATAAGATAATTTCCCTTTCCCTCTCCTTTCCACAACGCACGAGCTGGCTTTCAGCCGCCACCCGTTCTTTTGTTATTGATACATCACACACTTACAATCAAATGGTTCATTTAACGTTCGTTATGCGTGATTAAATAGAGTAGATCTACTAACTATATATTTACCCGAGAATATTTTTATAGCATTGGTTGACAAACGACCACACAGTCCACCTGATGGTAAGTGGATTCTGTCGCCTATAGACATCCACATTCATCGTCATTTAAGAATAAAAATGCGTTGTCACCCGTAACAACTAAGATGGAATGCCTCGATTCCAGTAAAAAGGGCATCCGGTTCTATACACTAACCATACGAAACATAGCAGCATTACGCTGGTATTCTGTGAGAGCGTGGTCCTGCCCCAGTCGAATCGACCCATTCGTGCTGCAACTATAATATAGCTGCAGCAAGACGCTACCACGTAAAAAACGTAGTGATAACGTAGTGTACAGTGTACACTACCATCGCAATCAGTACGTCACCATTGTTTTACGGTGAGATTCAAGCATATAAGCTAGTCTAAGCTACTTGTGGTCAACTTTTCAGTGATTTTTACAAGAATAAATAATTTATTTCTCAATTTGTGACAAAAGATTTTTTAATATAATAAGAGTGACAAACGGCACACAATCCACTTGATAGTAAATAGATGCTGTGGCCTATATGCAGTGTGTATACGTATATACTGTGATGTATATACAGCTGAAATAGATTTATTTATTCTTGATTAAGAATCAAAATGAAGATGCGTTGTCACCCCTGAGGAGACGGAATGCCTCGTTTACAGTATAATGTATCCGGTAATGGGTATCCAGTTCTCTACACTCACACAATTTTTTCACTGATATTTTGAGAGAGCGTGGTCATAACCTGGTCGAGCCCCTGGTCGAGCCGACCCTTTCGTGCTATCATAGTATAGCTGCAGCGTGCTTCTACTACGTAAAACCTATAAAAATATTATTTAGAGAAGACTTATTTTTTCGAAATAAAACCAGTAAAAATATTCTAAATAACAAATACATTAGAAATCACACTCACCCATCCACTTCATTAGACCCTTTGTTGCGAAGTTGGAATGCGATAACTTGATCTTCCTCCATTGAATCTGCTTCTGTCTACGATGTTACATCACACTGCTTTTGAATGTACCTTTCTTTCGATTAAAATCGTTACCTTCATACGGTTGCTAAACTGCCAGTTATATCAGTAATTTCACCATTTTCTAACGATGCTCGAACAAACAATGTTGATAATTTGTTTAACCTTTCCAAAGGTTATAATTTAGAATCTTCCTGTTTCTACGTTAGTAATCTTTGCCTTTGTTGTCAATAAGTCTTAAACTTGATAACTTACTGACGTCATTATCTGAATGGATTATAACGTTTGGTAATATTTGCCAAATTTCTTTTTCATCATCAACCAGTACATCAATTTATTT